CCTTCAGATGTGAAGGAAATAAGTAGCTATCCTATTTTTAAAAGACATCTGAAGGCAGCCCTGTTCAGGGAAGTTTTTAATATTTAACGCTGTATTGTTTTTAATACTTGATTGGGAGCCGCCCAGAGTGGCTGGGGAAACTCAGCCAGATGGGTGGGGTATAAATAATAAATTATTATTGTTGTTGTTGTTGTTGTTGTGCCTGAAGAGCATCATGTAAACAATGGCTTAAAAACAGCATCTGCTGCAACCTCAGCAAAGTTGAAGGAAATGGCAGTGGAGGCCACGAAGCCTGCGTGGTTGGGCCTGTGGGGTGATACGTGGCAGTCCTTACTGACCAGGAGAAGGAAGGTGGCTGCTGTGTTCTGCACTTTCTTTACCCTCTGGGTCTCCAGCCTTTTGTGGAGGCTGAGCATGTTGCAAGTCTGCCCTTCTCTCTCCTCTCTTCCCCATAAACTCAGCCGACAGTTCTGCGGGCCCTGACCCCACCTCCTCCTCCATCATCTGGGGCTTCTCCCAGCCAGGGAAGGCATCCTTCCCACCCTGCCTCTTGGGCAAAGCTGCAGGGCTCTGCTTCTGATCCTCAGGCCCTCTGTGGACTGGGCACAGGTGTTCCGCCCTCACTTGCACCTCCCCTCCCCGGGCTCACCTCTCCCGCTTTTAACTGTCAGGTTGCTGAATGAAGCCACGGGCTCCCTCTTGGATGATGTGCAGCTTGTGAACACACTCCAAACCTCGAAGGTCACAGCCACCGAGGTTACAGAGCAGCTGGAGACCAGCGAGACCACAGAGATCAAAATCGACACTGCCCGGGAGGTGAGGGGAAAGAGCTCGCCTTGGCTGTGCGAGAAGGGCGGGGAGGCTGGCCGAAGAGCCTGCTGGATCAGGCCAGTGGCTCTCCTAGGCCAGCATCCTGTTCTCACACTGCCAACCAGAGGCCCCAAAGGGAAACCCACAGGTAGGATCTGAGCACAAGAGCACTTGCCTCTCCGATGGCTCCTGGCAACTGGTACTCAGAAACATTGCTGCCTCTGACCACGGAGACAGTTCATAGCCATTGTGGCTAGTAGCCCCCAACAGCCCTTGCCTCCATGAATTTGTCTAATCCTCTTCTAAAGCCCTCTTGGTTGCTGGCCATCACTGCCTCCTGTGGCAGGGAGTTCCGTAGTTCAACTCTGTGTTGTGAGAAGAAGCACTTTCTTTTTTGTCTGTCCTGAATCTTCCAATATCCACCTTCATGGATTTCCACAAATTCTAGTGTGATGGGAGAGGGAGGAAAACTTTCCTCTATCCACTGTCTCCAGGTGATGCATTATTTCATAAACTTCAGGTGGAATCCCCCCCCCCCCCCAGAACTGAGGGTCTTGAGGAAGATTTGTGGGTACAGATGCTGTGCCTGAACCCCTCCTGGGTTTCTCCACAGTCCATAGGGGCTAGTAACTTGCTCTTTGACTGGTGAAGTACTGATTCTGCAGGAAAGGTCATTTCTCTGGGAGTGAGTGGTTTGTGTGCTGGGGTAGAGGCCTCACCCCATAGCTGACCCACCCCCAGTGGTTCCTCTCCCCCCCTCCCATCTCCTGGTGGGCATCCTGCTCCTGCCTTCCGGCTGCTTGCCAACTCACCTGTCGCACGTGCTCTTGCCAGGCCTACCGACCATGTGCTCAGAGGGCGTCCATCCTGTTCTTCGTCCTCAACGACATGGGCAGGATCGACCCCATGTACCAGTTCTCCCTCGATGCCTACATCGACCTCTTCAACCTCAGCATCAACAAGAGCCATCGGAGCACCAAGCTGGACGAGAGAATCCGCTTCCTCAACGAATACCACACCTATGCCGTATACAGGTAACCTACTTCGTGCGGGAGGCGGGGGGGGCAGCCAACCACTGCCACCACTCCTTTGCCTGTTGCACCTGGCAATCTATGCCCTTGGGGTCTCCTTCCTGAGGAACGAGGCGTGTTCAATTTAACTGGGAGAAGTTGTCTACAATCCTCAGACTTGTCCCATATACTCCATACAGTGGACCCTCGGGTTGCAAACGTGATCCGTGCGGGAGGCACGTTCACAACCCACAGCGTTCGCGACCTGCACATCTGCGCATGCGCAAGTCACGATTCGGTGCTTCTGTGCATGCGCAAGCACCGAAACCCGGAAGTAACGGTTCCAGTACTTCTGGGTTCAGCGGGGTGCGCAACCTGAAATCGCATAACCTAAAGCGTCTGTAACCCGAGGTATGACTGTATAGTCAAATCACAGGACGCCTGTTCCAGACAGGCACTGGAAGTTCAGGCTTCACTCTCTTGAATATCTGAGAAAGCAATTGTGGAAGGTGTGGAGACAAACTGGAACGTGTCCAGAGGAGGGCAACCAAAATGGTCAAAGGCCTGGAAACGATGCCTTATGAGGAACGGCTAAGGGAGCTGGGCATGTTTAGCCTGGAGAAGAGGAGGTTAAGGGGTGATATGATAGCCATGTTCAAATATATAAAAGGATGTCACATAGAGGAGGGAGAAAGGTTGTTTTCTGCTGCTCCAGAGAAGCGGACACGGAGCAATGGATCCAAACTACAAGAAAGAAGATTCCACCTAAACATTAGGAAGAACTTCCTGACAGTAAGAGCTGTTCGACAGTGGAATTTGCTGCCAAGGAGTGTGGTGGAGTCTCCTTCTTTGGAGGTCTTTAAGCAGAGGCTTGACAACCATATGTCAGGAGTGCTCTGATGGTGTTTCCTGCTTGGCAGGGGGTTGGACTCGATGGCCCTTGTGGTCTCTTCCAACTCTATGATTCTATGATTCTAAATCAGGCACTTTCTATCACGTGGTGGCTATGTAAGAAAATCCAGGCATTTGGAGAGAGTATCCACTTACAACTACAAAAAATGATAGAGATTTCCTTTATGAGAAAACCAGAAGCTTATCTTCTGGGGATTACAGATTTGGATATTCCACAAAAGATGAAAAGTATTTTTTTATATGCCACAGTGGCAGCAAGAGTTCTTATCGCTGCAAAATGGAAGAGTGATGAAATCCCCTCTATTCATGAATGGATCCCAAAGCTAACAGAATATGTGGAGTTAGACAGTTTATCAGAAAAAAATAAAGAACAAACCAAAACGGGAATTTGTCTCAAAATGGGAAGTCTTCAAAGTTTATTTGAAAAACAGTTATAGCACTTTAAACTCTGTCTCAGCATTTGAATAACTTCAGTAGTAGCTTTGAGAAAGATATGAGACCTCAGATAAACCAATAATTAGTTAATTTATGATAAAAGTGTGTATTGGCAGCAAATAATATATAACTGAAATAAGGAATAGACGGGAGGTCGGGTCTATAGTTCAAGGACCACTTTTTCCTTTATTGATTTGTAATTAATATTGTCTTTATCACTGTTTCTATTTGTATTTTTGTTTCGTTTTTTTCCTTTTTTGGTGTATCAATAAAATAAAAAAGAATATCTGAGAAAGGAGGCTGCTGTGAGTTCTCTCCGAGCTCCAACCCTTCCTTCCGTTTTCTGTGTGGCTTCTCTTAGGTACACCTGTCGGGGGCTCTTTGAGCGGCACAAGCTGCTTTTCAGCTTCCAGATGTGTGCCAAGATCCTGGAGGTCTCCGGCAACCTCAAGATGGACGAGTACAACTTCTTCCTGCGCGGGGGAGTGGTAAGAGCTCAAGAGCCACCCTGATGGATCAGACCAAAGGCCAAGCTGGTTCAGTAGCCTTCTGTTACTGTGGCCAGCCAGGGGCCTACGGAAAGCGGACAAGTGGGACCTGAGTGCGAGAGCAGCACTCACCCTTCCTCATCCCCAGCAACTGGGCATGCAGAGGCATACTGCCTTTGGTCCTGGAGGCAGAGTATAGCCATCGTTTCGAGTAGCCCTTGATAGCCTTAGCCCCCATAAGGTAAAGGTAAAGGGACCCCTGACCATTAGGTCCAGTCGTGGCTGACTCTGGGGTTGCGGTGCTCATCTCGCTTTACTGGCTGAGGGAGTCGGCGTACAGCTTCCGGGCCATGTGGCCAGCATGACTAAGCCGCTTCTGGCGAACCAGAGCAGCGCACAGAAACGCCGTTTACCTTCCTGCCGGAGTGGTACCTATTTATCTACTTGCACTGGCATGCTTTTGAACTGCTAGGTTGGCAAGAGCAGGGACCGAGCAACGGGAGCTCACACCGTCATTGTGGGGATTCAAACCGCCAACCTTCTGATCGGCAAACCCTAGGCTCTATGGTTTAACCCACAGCGCCACCTTAGCCCCCATAAATTTGTCTAATTTCTTTTAAAGCCATCAAATCGGTGGCTACCGCTAATTATTGCCGTAGCAAAACATAGTTTAGCAATGCGCCGTGTGAAGAAGTCTTTCCTTTTCTCTGTCTTGAATCTTTCCCTGCAAAAAAGATCTTAAGCTTTGCTGGATGAGCCCATTGGGTTCTCGTATTATAAGAGAGGGAGGAAAACTCTTTATCTTCTTCCTCTGTACCATGTACAATTGTATGCATCTGTATTGTGTATCTCTTGTCTTTTTGTCTAAAGTAAAAAAAGCAAATTTTGGCAACCTTTCTTCATAGGGAAGCTGCTCTAGCCCTTTAATCATTTTGCTTGCCTTTTTCCAGCTCTCCAGTATCTTTCTTAACGTATAGTGATCAGCAGCGTATGCAGAATTATTATTTTTATTTAGTGAGTTTGTTGTGTTTAAATCCCACCTTTCTTCCGAGGAGCTCGAGGTGGTGTAAATAGTTCTCATCCTCACGATTTTATCGTCACGACAGCCCTGTGAGGTGGATTCAGTTGAGAGTGACTAACTGGCCCAAGGTCACCCATTGAGCTTCATAGCTGAGTGGGGATCTTAGCCCTGGTCTCTCCCAGATCCTAGTCCAACACTAAGCGCTGAACCACACCGGCTCTCAAAGAAGAAGCCTGGCAGTGGTATGGATAGCGGGAACAAATGTCTCGGCAGCATCAACTGGGCAGAGACTTCAGGAAGTTATCGCTTGTGCAAGCATAACAAAGTCCCCAGCGAGATCTGAACTCGCGACCCTCGGTTTACAAGGCCAGTGCTCTAACCCCAGAGCTATAGAGCCTTGCACTCCATTGAATTGTGCAATGCACAGCATTCCGAGCACGGAACAGATTTGCGTAAACTGATTTACGGTACTGGTAGATTTATTCTCTGTGCAGCGGGAGGGAGGCATCCAGAAATGGGTTGCCCCCCGCCATACAGCTTTGATGGCCTAGGAGAGGGAGACCTTGCCACCCTTTCTTTCTTTCGTGCCTTGCCCAGGTCCAGGGCAAATTTCCCTTCTCTCTGGCCTCGCATTCCCTCCCCCCTCATGTCTGCTCTGCAGCAGTTCTCCTCGGGTTTTGTCCTTTCAACCTTATTTGCCTTTCCCTTTCCCCGCTTTCAATAACTTCCCGTACACACACAAAAAAGAAGAGTCATCTTTGTTTTTTACCTCTCCTTATCCTCTTGGGTCCCTCCTTTGTTATCCTTTCTTCTCCCACTGCCTGAGCATGGCGCTGGTGGAGAAAATGTCATTTCTGCAAGGAGAAATCAACACGCAAAAGAAAGTCAGCCAGGCTGGGGAGGCGGCGGGTCTAAAAACAACATTCTCCCAGTTACCTTGATGGTTGCCATTGAGTCCCCCTCCCCCCCCCCAACACAGAGGCTTCTGAAGGCTCTTCCTCACTGGAGAGACAATTTTCTGAAGAGGCAAACTGTGAAGATTTCGCCCACCAAGCCTATTGAGCAGGCAGATGCCAATCTTACCAGTTCCTACATGGTCTCAAAATAATGTCGGACGCCTTCCTTTTGAGTGTCTGGCTGGCTCCAGCGAGATGGCTGGTGTCTGGACTCAGCTGGTGTACGACTGCAGCTCTGGCAGCGCCTTGGTGTTGAAGGAAGGCTCAGACAGCTGATTCCCTGCCATAACCGGCCATCATTGTTTGCGCCAGGGGACATTGCTATGGGCCATTGTCCCTAGAGGGTGCTGATCCCTGCCACCCATGGCACCCCTGTCTCTTCGCCGCAAATCTGAGGGCTCCCTTGGACAAAAAACAAGGACACCAGCCAGGAATACCAGAGCAAAACAGCAGCCATTAGGCTTGGTCTTTATTGAAGACTGTCACGACAGGACTCCCACCTGCCACCAGGTGGAACAAGATGGAAGCCCCGAACAAAAGAGCCCCCAAACTTTTATTAGCTGCTAATCCCCATGTTACACCCCCCCCAAACTACATCACTCATACATCATGGTTACATCATGAAAGGGGAGGTCTGGTGGCAATAATCTGAGCATCCTGGACCCTGCCCCATGGTTCTCCTTGCCCTCCACCAAACACCCATCAAGTGAAACAAAAGAGATATTTACATTTCCCTGTTTCCCAGCTAAGTTAATCACACCCTTTTGTCTTCATCTGGGTTTGTTATTTCTGGAATGGCTACCTGTCTGGCGCTCAGGTATCAGGATACCAGGGATTATCACTCAGGCAGAGGGGCTGCGGAGTAGCTGAGCTCCCTGTTAGCCAGTACATAGATACATTTATCAGTGAATTGTTACATTTGGTATTGTGCAGCAGAGGCCCTTTGAATAGATAGGAAGAAACTGTGATGGGGTGTTTTGTGGGGACAAATCACAAAAGTCACAAAAGTGATTGTGCTGATTTTGGTAGTGGGGTGCATGTGCATGATATCTGCTGGAGGGACAACCCCCCCCCAATACATAAATTCCTGTAACACACGGGATGCTTCTTCTGCCTTTTGCTGCTTCAGAAATTGTCCCCCGTCCTTTAAATCCAGTAGACGACAGTTCTGACACCATCCCACGCCCCATATAGGGCTGGGGTAGGGAAACATTCCTGGCCAACAGGCCAGATCATTATTTCCCCACCTGCTGGCAGGCCAAATTTGACAAGTGATTGGGGCCCCCCATCTATCAGTCACCTGCCCTCCCAATATTGGGGCTGGGGGTGAGGTGTTATTTTATGAAGAGCATCGGATCAGTGGCATCCTGCTGCTGAATCAGCACAGCCCTGACCATTGTGGGCCTGGAAATAGTTTCACAGGAAGCTTCTGTGGCTTGTTTGCCCCTCTGGGGAGAGAGTTTGGGCTGGCTACCAAGAGGAGCAGTCCCTCTGGATGTGTAGTACCCCCAGAAGGTTGAAATCTACTTGGGCCTTGACTTCCGGTGGAGGAACATGGCGGACTGAATGTCTTCTGTCGGCAGGTTGTCGATGGAGATAATTACATGGCGATTGATGATAGCCAATACGTAAATCTTGGCTGTCAAATTCTCCCTGGAGATAATAGTGAACAAGGGCATAAATGCAGATACTGTGTTCTGTGTCTTTTCAAAATCAAGATGGAAAACTACGGCAAATGCAACAGGAAATGGGAACAGATGATAAGGAACTGGGTGAAAACGAATGGATATATAATGTAAAGAACTATGGAATATTATTTTAATATACGATCGCAGTGGAAACACTTGCGTGGACAAAGATGGAAAGGTGTCTTATTGTTTAATATGGAGGAATGGTTTTTGAAATTATTGGAGGCGAAAACCATTGCTGACATTTATTAATAAAAATAATTAGATAACCCCTTTTGGACTTTTTGTGTAAAAAGGAAACTGAATTAATTTGATACATTTGGGTTGTAAGATTGGGGAAATATTGCCTAACAGAAGGTAGATCAGTTGGATGTCATTCTAGAGTGAATATTTCAAATAATTTCTTTTATATAACTGACAGATGGAAAATCAGAAGTCCGTTATGTTCTTTTTATTTTCTTTTATATTTTTGTTTTTCCTTCGATGCTGTCTCTTTCCCTTTCTGCTTTTATTTAGATTATTTTTTTTTAGCTTATTGCATTATGAAAAAGCTTTAATAAAATCTTACATTTTTAAAAAAAACAGAAATCTCCCCAGGCCTTGCCCCACAACAGAGGCATGCCATGTGGGCAGTCAAGGGCAGAATGCAGCTTGGCCGTCCCACAGGTCCTTGGGCGAGCCGTCTGGGAGGTTTTCCCGGAGCCTGGCTTTGTAATCTGAGAGGCCCTTGAAGCTCCGCCAAGCCCCGTCCATGACAACGGGCCAGAGAGCAAGGCTGGCTCCCCGCCTAGCAGGACAGCCATGGAGAGGGGGAAGTAGAGGGGGAAAGCCACCCCAACCTCCTGCAGCCTGCTCCTCGCTATATGTTTCCTGAGGGGAAACCCAGAGCAGGCCGGGAAATGGCCAGAGACCTTTCCTTCCCCCTACTTTCACCTTGAGGTCCGAGGCTGCCCCCCACCTGGGCACACCTGGCATTATACACCTTTCAGTGCCATTCTTGAGGTGACTATATGTGTGCGTGTCCATGGCCAGATTTGCTGCCAAGGTCAGCTCCAGGGGCCCTCTCTCTGGCGACCATATTTTACCCATAATCCTCCCTGCTTTGCCTGTGCCATTCCTCCCCTGGTGAGGAGAGTCTCCTGCTATGGGACGTATCCCCACCCTTGCCATAGAGGTGGGCAGAATCTGACCAGAGCCCTTCATGCCCAGGATGCTGGGCCCATCCTAGCCCTTCTGGAGAAGATGGCGGATGTTCAGAAATACCTTGGTATACGGGGAGGCCTGCTTCACCTCCCCCAAATACTTGAAAGCAAAGGTGTATCAAATAGCCTGCTCTTCCCCCATGGATTTGCCTAATCCCCTTTTAAAACCACCCGAGCTGATGGCCTCTTGTGGGAGGGAGTTCCGCAGTCGAACCGTGTGTTGTGGGAAGGAGCGCTTTCAACGAAAACCTGTCCTGGTTCTTCCATCGTTCCCTTCCTGCTTGCAGGTGCTGGACAGGGAAGGGCAAATGGACAACCCCTGCACCAGCTGGCTGGCCGACGTCTACTGGGACAACATCACCGAGCTGGACAAGCTCACCAACTTCCACGGCATCATGAACTCCTTTGAGCAGTACCCTCGCGACTGGAACCTCTGGTACACCAACTCCAAGCCGGAGAAGGCCATGTTGCCAGGTCAGGCACCGCCCTTCCACTGAGCTGCGCAGTCCCTGCCGTCGGATTGTGTCCATGCCCTCCCTAAAGAAAACCGGGAGGGAGTCCAGTGGAAATGGGTTAACTGCCATCCTCCAGAACAGAGTTGGAGCGCTGGATCCAAAACTAGCCCACTCGCCTGTCAATCATCTTAAGCATATCCGGCGCCATGGTGCAAAACTCTCTCTGGGGGCCCCCCCCCCCCCCCGTTTCCCAGAGGAGTTGTTGACCTTTTTTTAGGGAGGACGACGGGGCTGGAGGAGGCTCCTTAGGCAGGGAAGAGGCGGAGGCTGGATGTGGCACCTCCTGGCTCAGTTGGATGCTTCGTGCCACAGTGGCCACGGGGAACAGAGGCTCTGGGCGCGGCGCTGCTTCGGCACAGGTGGCATGGCAGAGGCGGGCGAGGGCAGCGAGTTGATGCTGGGAGGTGCCGCGTCCAGCTTCCACCTCTTCCCTGGCGCCCTCCAGAACTTGGCGCCCAGCACCACTAGCCTCTATGGGTAAGACGCCCCTGGTCCTGTGACATCCGGGGAATCTTCCCTTGCAGCCTCGGCTTGAACTCGAGCTGCGGCCGTAAAGATCCAAAAGTTATATCCTACCTTTTTCCTCCAAAGAGCTCAAGTCCAGGGCCCTCCCCCTCCTCACTTATTCAGAACAACGTTGCCAGGTGGGCTTAGGCTGAGAGGCAGTTATCCAGGGAGCTTTGTGGCCAAATGGGGATTCGAAGCCAGGGCTCCCAGGTCCTAGTGCAACACTATAGCCACTGTACCAGCATACTTTGGAAGCCCCAAGCCTCTGAAAAGGGGTGTTCCTGGTGCAGATAATCCCTCTAGGACCACCTCCAGTGAGAGGTCTGTCCTTATGCACTGGAGACGTGGGAGTCAAGCTGAGATGGGGAGCGACCACTGGCTTTGGTGGGCATGCCAGGCCTTCTCTACAACCTACCCACTGGGCCCCTCTTCAGTTTCAGGTGGTCTCCCCCCACTCATACTTGTCGCCCCCTGCAGGTGAGTGGGAGAACTCTTGTAACCAGATGCAGCGGATGCTGGTCGTCCGGTC